TTAATACAGTGGTGGAGTTGTTGGTGATTTTTATTTAAACGGATATATTAGAAAATAATATGAGTATATGAAAAGATAATATAAATTATATTTAAGATGTTATTTAATAATTTAAATTATTAAATAAAATTATTTAAATAAAAACCTAATATTTGATCATGAGAGATACTTTGCCTATCCCTATCACATAATATAAAAAAAAAATTATTTAAGTGGTGGATAAATGATAAAAAATTGAAATTAAAATATTTATTTTTTCTATAATTTAATATTTGAATTCTTGTTTATATAACTAAAAATAATAACTTGAAATTTAAAAATATTTTATTTGTAACCTTTCAATGTATTTATATCACCTGCACCTTGTTATATGTTTTTTTTTTCCTTCGGGAAAGGTTCAAAGCTTAAACACCAGTACAAAGTATATATTTTTGTCGTAATAATGTGCATATCAAGTGATTTTTAGGAAATAAACTGTGTATATCAAGCCAAAAAAAGAAATATTACAATTTATTATAGAAAAACAGATATTCCTCGTCAAGATGTAAAGTTAATATAAAATTAGACTCTATTAAAACTAAAGTTATTAAACTTCACTGTCACCTTTGATTGACTCGAGAATTGATGATGGTTTCGGCCAGTTAACCCACAGGTCAATATCAATATGTTATTTAATTTATTTGATTAAAATTTAATTTAATTTATTTATTTTTAAAGTAAATTATTTTAACTTAAAAACAATAAAATAATATTATTGTACTTGACTTTGATCAATCAAAATTAACTCAATCAAGTCAAAAGCTAAGTCAGGTTTAATAAATTTGATTAAGTATGTATTTGATAATATAGTATATAAAATTGAAAATTCATTAAAATTATATGTTTTTTAGATTTTTTATTTTTTTAATATCACATTAAAATTATTAATAAAATACTAAAAAATTAATTTAATATTTTATTATACAAAAAAATAATTTAAAAAAGCATATAACCCAAAAAAGAAGAAGAAATCAAACACTTCCTGAACCTAGAAAAAATCTAAAAAAAAACTCGAAAAAAAGAAATTAACCAAACAAGTGGGTCCCAAGATCACACTTTCACAGGGAGGCAAGGCACAAAGCCACTTGGAAAATTGAGAGGCAACTAGCTGCTTTCACGAAGCAAAGCAAAAGCAATGGTCCACTCTGACGCAAACCTCTCATTATTCTAACCAGCAAGGTTCCAAAGGCAAAAGAAAGGAAAACCAAAAGCTAAGTACTTGCTAATCAAACAAAGCATAAATAATTACCAATAAATTTCCCATCTTTTATACCATAATCACTTTTATAGGGTCCGATAAAAAAGATTTAATCCTTTTTTCGCTTTAGATTATATGTTTTAGTATTTTTAAATGGTTTTAATATATTAATATTAAAAATAAATTTTAAAAAATAAAAAATATATTATTTTAATGTATTTTAAAAAATAAAAACAGTTAAAAATCAATCTCTACCCTGCGTTAACTGTATCTTACTTGTGAAAATCTAAATATTTTATGTCTTTTATTAAACTCTGTAGCCTGCTGTGGCTAACCTCTAGTAACCAGACTTTCATGGCTACCTTACACATCTAAAGAGAAACCCTTAGATCCTGAACTTGTGTTTGCTTCTAAAAAGATGATTTATTTGCAGAACTGGCAAATGGGGCTGTGCTTGCTGGTCTATATCATTAGCTGTTGCTTCATTTCTGTGAGTTCACAAAGTGCTGTAGCTGGAAATGATAATAGCAGTGTTGTTGAAGGAACTGTTTTCATAGATGGAAAATCTTCCATTGGAAAGATTGATGAAAATTCCATTTGTGCCACCTTAGATTGGTGGCCACCTGAGAAATGTGATTATGGGACATGCAGCTGGGATCATGCTTCTCTCATTAATCTGGTAATGATTCATTTTAGCATGCTTCTGAGATTGTTTTTTAGGATTAGATATCTAAATATGTTGTTTGATAGTTGCAACTGAACTTGAAATGCTTGTCCTGTCCTGCACTTCTCAAAACTTAACTGGCATTTTACTATTAGATACAGAGTTGTTCTTTAAAATTTCAAGAAGTTATTCTCTAAATATTTAATCTTTTTGAATTTTTTTATGTTCTCTTATGCAGGATCTTAACAACAGCATCTTGTTAAATGCCATAAAGGGTGAGAGCCCTTTGAACCAAAGCAACCTTTTCTTCCTCTTGTTGGCAGGGATTTTTTTTAATGCTTTTCAGAGTCCTAATTGCCTCTTTTTTCTTTTTCTTTTTTGCACTATGGTCCAGCTTTTTCGCCATTGAAAATCAGAATAGGGGGCACTTTGCAAGATAAGGTCATTTATGACACCGAAGATAATAAGCAACCTTGTGTCCAATTTGTCAAAAACACCAGGGAGATGTTTGGTTTCACTCAGGGTTGCTTACCACTGCATAGATGGGATGAACTTAATGCCTTTTTCAAGAAATCTGGGTAACAACAATGTTCTCTTCTGTTTCCTGTTAACCTTACTTTACAATTTCTAGCAGCTGAACGTCCTCTTAATTTTGCAAATTCAGGGCTGAAATTATATTTGGGTTAAATGCTCTCACTGGCCGGTCCATGAAATCTGATGGTTCTGCAGTAGGAGCTTGGAACTACTCTAATGCAGAATCATTTATAAGCTATACTGTCAAGAAGAACTACTCTATTTATGGCTGGGAGCTCGGTAAGAACACCATCCAATGCTTTCTCGTCGTTGATGCTGATCATTGTTGTTTCATGAAATCCATGAAAGTATCATTGCTTTATTGACTATAAGGAAATGTGAACTAAATACGATCAGATTATATTTTGTTGGGATTAATTTATCTGAACCTCCAACAAGTCCTTTTCTGCTGATCAGGAAATGAATTATGTGGGAGTGGTGTTGGAACAAAAGTTGCAGCAGCTCAGTATGCCTCTGATACAATTTCCCTGTATAACATCGTGAAAAGGATTTACAGCAGCATTGAACCGAAACCGCTAGTTATAGCGCCTGGAGGATTCTATGATGCAAATTGGTTCAAAGAGTTTGTAGATAAAACAGGCAATTCTGTAGATGCGATCACCCACCACATATACAATCTCGGTCCAGGTATCTCTTTGAAGAAAACGACCTGACTTCTGTGGTCTCACATCTTGGACAATAGGTCTATCTTGACATGATTATATCCTCTTTTGATGCAGGAGTTGATACACATCTCATTGAAAAGATCCTTAATCCATCCTATCTTGATGGTGAGGCTAGGACCTTCAATAGCCTCCAAAGCACTCTCAAGAGTTCTGCAACTTCAGCAGTTGCATGGGTTGGTGAATCAGGAGGGGCTTACAACAGTGGCCGTAACCTTGTTACCAATGCATTCGTGTTTAGTTTCTGGTAAGGGAGGTCAAAATTATGTTAAAAAAACTTCAGCTTTTCTGTTGTGGATTCTAAGTCCAGGGATGTCAAAACAGGTATTTGGATCAGCTTGGGATGGCATCATCTTATGATACAAAAACGTACTGCAGACAGTCATTGATTGGTGGCAATTATGGTTTACTCAACACTACTACTTTTGTTCCAAATCCGGATTACTACAGGTATTCGAAAACTACTGATACTGGCAGGTTGCTATGAAAAATGAGATAGCAGGATAGAAATGAAGAGGTGCAGTGAATTATCTTTCCAATATCATGGCAATTCTTAAGAAATTCATTTGTCTGCAAGAAGAAAGAGGATTAAGTTTTGAGATAGGTAGAGGATTAAATTAGTGATAATTTTCCAAGAGAGAGGTATCTATGCTTATTATGAATTGAATTTTTTCAACCAAGTTGGCTTCATACCAAGATGAAACCTCTTGTTTCCCACTCTGGAATCTCATATTCAGTAATAAGGTCTCTCAGAAGTTCTAATATTTTGCTTTCTTCAATGCAGTGCTCTTCTTTGGCACCGCTTAATGGGAAGAAATGTTCTATCAACCAGGTCTTCTGGAACGAAAAAAATACGTGCATATACTCATTGCGCAAAACAATCTGTAAGTTCCACAACACAATCATCACACTAGCAGAGAGCTTTATGATCTAATTAGATTCATGATCTTGCAGAAAGGGATCACATTACTACTAATCAACCTTGACAGTAGCACGACTGTTGATGTCAATGTAAAATTCAACAGCACTTTGGGATTGCACCGGAAACACAAGACTCACAGGTCTCATGAAACAAAGGTCATTCGACTGCTTGAAGGATCCACGAGTGAGATAACAAGAGAAGAATACCATCTAACAGCAAAAGATGGAGATTTACACAGCCGAATAATGCTACTCAATGGGAACATTTTAACAGTAAATTCATCCGGGGACATACCTTCCTTCGAGCCACTACTTGTAAATTCATCAAAGCCGATAGTGGTTGGTCCTTACTCTATTGTATTCGTTCAAATGTCATATGTTCTCCCTGCTTGCAGTTAGGTGGTAGCACTTAATGGAACTGAAATTAGTTCTATGTAGTGAATAGTGATTGATCAAATAAGACAGAATACAAGCAGTAAATGCTACATTCTTTCTTGGTGAATAATACGATGAAAATTGTTTTGGTAAGTTGGGAAGCCATAGTTTTCATTCTTCTTTTAAAGAAAACCAGTGTCCTCTATTGTATTCGTTCAAATGTCATATGTTCTCCCTGCTTGCAGTTAGGTGGTAGCACTTAATGGAACTGAAATTAGTTCTATATAGTGAATAGTGATTGATCAAATAAGACAGAATACAAGCAGTAAATGCTACATTCTTTCTTGGTGAATAATACGATGAAAATTGTTTTGGTAAGTTGGGAAGCCACAGTTTTCATTCTTCTTTTAAAGAAAACCAGTGTCCCTTGTAATTGCAAGCACATAGCATATATTTCTTTACTGCGGTGTGCGCTGCTCGTCCTACAGGAATGAACTGCCCCAGGACACTTTTTTATTTATTTTTATCACGCGGTAGATAAGAGAGATTGGTATAACAAAGTTTTTGAGCTTTCAAAGGCATACCATAAAACGCGAGCCTTAAAAAACAGTAGGACAACAAGCATGTCAATTACATGTTGGTGGCCAGCCAAGACCACAAAGTCAACCATGCATTATGTTTAGTATACAAATGAAGAAGCTGACTATAGGAGATGAGGCAATTTCCACCAAATGCTATGGAAAAGAAGTTTAATGAACAAACATATTCAATTGTGTGTTCTCTAATTTGGATGCTTCATCCAATGTCAATCCGTCTTGGAAAAGTTTGGAGGCTTGCTGCTGGCAAATGCCAACCATACAATGGTACCGGTCAAGTAAAAGAAAATTGATGGAACGAACAATGAAATCTGCATGGCAAAATACAAGGAATAAAAAATTACTAGGGAGAAGTTAATATAGAAACCTGTCCAAAGAAGTATATATATTAAAACTTAAAAGTGGTCAAGAGGCAACTTACACTCCATGAATGAGTTGTATCAAGTAGATAACCAGTCAAGGGAATCCCTACAATTCCAGGTATTGCTCCGACAGTGTTGGTAATGCCCTGCATAATAAAATTGAAAAGAAAAAAGAAAAAGATCAACATGGTTAAAAGAAAGTTATTTTTGCTTTACAAATTCAAGCAAAGGCCTTAAAACGGTGGCAAGCTTACAGTAGTCAAGATGGATCCAAATGAATGAATCATGTACTTGACCTGGAGCTAAAATTAGAAACAATGACACAAGAATGTTTTGCAAAAGTTTAATCTAGAACTGCCAGTTCATTACAACTTTGCATAATTTCCTGAATAATCTGAAGGCAGAGATGGACAAATACTCATTGATGATAGGACCAAAATCCATGTAAAAAAGGGATTTATGACATAATTAGAATTCCTGTCCTGGGATCAACCTTAATTGGAGAAGTGGGTATCTGGAAAAGGAAGGATGACAGATCCACGAACAAAACCATTAATTGCAGTGAATCAGCATAGATTTTTCTCTCTCTCTTTTCTGCTTTGCACTTTCACACTAAAACCAACTCCGCCTTGCAAAAGATATTATTGATTGCCTGGTTATCATTTCTCCATGTCATAAATAACGATGCACATAATTCAGGAACCACGTGCTGAATTGATTTTAAGTCAAGTGAGAGTTGAATTGATTTTAAGTCAAGTGAGAGTGAGGATCGTGCTAATGAAACCTACTATCAATCTATACAGGAGGTCGATTAGAAAATGCATAGCATATGCAACAAAATCTAGGATTTGTAGGCTTACATACCAAAAGTATACTTGCATATTCAGGAGACATATCTTGATGCGTACAGTAAAGTCCTGCAAAAATGATAAAACTTTGAATTAGAAATTAACCTAGCACAAGTCAATATGTTCCTACACATGAAATGAATTAAAAGAGTTCTCAAGTACTCCACTACCAGACAAGGCAAAGCTTGAGAGGGCCAAGCCACCAGTGAGAATTCCCACAATCTCCCAGGGAGGCAATCCTAGATCCACAGAGGAGAGAGTCATGCAAAGAGCAGGAGACAAAAAGGCAATTGTTTGGCAAATCTTTCTCACCTGCAAGGTCAAAAAGGTCAAGCTTGTTGACATAGTGAAGAGTTTCTGACAAGATGATGATTATAGAAGTGTAGAACTATAATAATAGACATTTGGTTTTGCAGACCGTAGTGATTTCAACTCCATTGGAAATTAACTTGTCAGCAAGCTGTGCGGCAATGCTAGTCACGAAAACTGAAGCCAAGGGAGGAAGGATAGAAACCTGAAATTGTTGATAGTTACTTCATAGGAAAATAAAATGTCAAATAATCTAATTGCAGTTGAACAATCAAAAGATTGATGGCTATCCAATGTTCATACTTGATGGACTGACATGGTAGTCCCAAGTTCAAGTGTTCAGTGCTTCAATAGTATTGCATGTAAAGTTCAAGTCCTCAGGGACCTGACCAGTCAAATTACCATAAAAATTTAGGATAAAACATTCACACTGTACTCAATTTCAGAGGACAACATGTTATCTAAATCACTGCAAGGAAGATCAATCCCTCACAGGTAAAAATGAACACCTTCATGGTATGGTACCATAATATACCCAAGTTTCTGGCACGTTATAGCACCAGCATTTCTCTATAATAATTTTTTGCATCAAAAGATGCTTGTAGATGGATGATTTCAAACTAGTTCCATGTACATGGTAAATAGGGTACCAATAACAATAAATGAGATGTTGAAATGTGTGATTTCATGTACAGCAGAGTTCTTTGTTTTTATCAAGTATGACTTCCCACGTGCATTTCAAGATGCAAAAATTTAATGTAAATCAAACTTTAAGGTAATCATTCTTCCTTGTTCATGCAATTTGATTGCTATACTCAACTAAAGTGAGAGAAAGACAATCATAGATCTTCAAACTTACCCATGCAGCTTCTGTCAAATTCAGGCTCAGCTCCTCACTGCACGGCATTTCCATTGAAAGTTAGGTTTCTTTGCATTACAGCCATAATGGCAGGCACATTGAAGACATTGATATAGCAGTTGCTAAATTCTCTTTTTCCAGAATGAGAAAAGAAATTCAGAAAGTTGAACTGAAAATATACCTAAAATAAGAAGGAAGCCAAGATAAACAAGTATAATGACCCCAACTTCCACAAAAGTGAGCATATATCATTGCCCATACAGCTGGGGTTTGGAAAAATGCCTTCCATGGAACATCCTGTCACAATAGAGACACTAAGAAAAGCAAGCACAAATGGCTAAAACGTTTTTTTAGGGAAGGTCCTTAATTTCAAAATCAGGTATGATACACAGTTCACAATAATTTTGAAAACAATAAACTTCCTAAATTTCCTCACAATTTCATACTTTAGTGAGGATTGGCACTTTCCTTCAGGAGGCTTCACTTGTATGCTATACATATTTAAACTCATGAGAGAACAATCATGAATATCTGAGCAAATAGCACTTCCTGGAGAACTATGGTTCTAACCATTTAGTTCTGAATATCAGCAAACATATGATGCTGGAACTCAGGCAGATCTATTCACTTTTGCCATCGAGTTTTAGAGTATTGAATGACCCTTAAGCCTAGTTACTTGGGTTTAACTTGACAAATCAGTGAAACATGCCACTCTTCAAGAAGTGTTGCATTTAAGATACATTCAATTTCTCAATCAGCACCTTCTCCATCCTTACAGTTTCTAATATTATATAGGAGAACAAAGAAAAAGAAGAAAGCATTGTACCTTCAGTGAGCCACCCAACTCTCCAACAGCATTACTTGATGATTTTTCTGAATAGATAGATTGGGACCCTGTCAAACATATCAAGGAAAAGTGCACCATGAATAAGAGGAAGGGAACACAAAGACAAACAGCAATTTTACAGCCAATTATTTTTATTTAGTTCATATCAGCACATCACCTAAGAATTGAGCCTTACCTAGGATAACCTCCAATGAAAGGTCAATACTGCAGTTGGGCATAGAAAGTCAGCTGAACACTTGGGGAAACATGCTACTGGTTTAAAAATAATACACTAAGTCCAATTAGAAGTTTTCTCTCCAGCCTCTAGAACAGGACTTTTTCTTCAGATATCATCCTTCTAGTGGAAAAGATGAGATGAATTCTCAAGATGGTCTCCAAGGCAACGATATAAGTATACGCAGCTGAAATGAGATACTAAGCATTTTTTGAACAATACAGAGGACATATTTTTATGATCAAAATGATATTTGGAATATAAAGTGGGTTATTCTCTTGCAACTCAATATATGAACAGTTATACAAGGCTCCCTAAACATTAGGGTGTTTCAGAAATGTGACTCCTTTAGCTTAATTTTTTTTTACTTCTTCTGCTGTGAATTGCTAAATATGTATAAATTAGGCAAAATATTTGTCATGTGTGCAATGTCAGGTATACTAACCATATAATTTTATCAGAAAGGCAGAGCAGAATAAGGCATTATCAGCATGCAAAAAGAGATGCAAAAGAAGACACCATATGATTTGGAAAATCACACACAAGTGGTCAACTAATCATCATCCACATACCAATAAACTCAGAAGCTTTATTCATCAAATCTAGAATAATAAAAATCAATACAAGTAAAGTGCTCACGTGAAGTAGGTTTGGCAGCGAATGAAGCCTGTCCCTCTTCAAGATATTGAAACCCCAAAAACCTTCATAATTTTTGGTGTTGCCAAAATTATAAAATCAACTCTTAGTCAGTTATTAATACTAGCAACTTAAAAAGCTGAATATAATCAAATAAACAATTGATCACTCAGTTCAGAACCAAAGTGGACCCAAAAGCCATGAAATATCGTCTTGTATTTAACATGAAAACAAAAGCCTTTATGGGTATCATAATAGTGTAATTTCCTTTAGTTCAAGGCAGAAGCAGGTAAGCATTGAAATCCATGAGATTAGGGACAGATACTTACCAGGCCACCCCAAGAAAGCCAAATATATAAAATACAGATGCCCAACCAAGATTTTGAATAAGCGGAGGAGCTAAAAGAAGCCTGCAAGAACTTTAAAAATGTTAAGAAAAGACCAGCAAATGAAACCAGGAACGCACTTTAACTAAAACAAAACAGACACAGAAAGAAGAAAATAGTCATAATGGCATAAATTTGTCGATTAAATATGTTTAGGACCTCACACACTGATTCCTTTTAGGTGCAATTTCACAGGAAGATGTAAAGTTGTAAATAGTTTCTCTACTTATCGATAATCACATAAGTCAATGAGCTGAATATGACATTTCTACAGTTAACATTCTGGGTAACTCAAATTAAGAGGCAAGCAGTTTCCTCAATAGAAAAAATTGTTGCTATCACACACCAAATTAAACAAAACATACCCTGTAACACTTCCTACACTTAGTCCCCCAAAGACAAATGCTACAGCTCGTGATCGCTCTTCCAAAGGTATCGACCTGCGCATGCAGTGTTGGTCAATGCAAATCAAAAGAAGAAAAGAACTCTACACTAGCTCTTCATCAGAAATTGGCTTTATCCCAATGACATGCTGACAGTATAAAAGAATGTCTACAATATAAGCAATGTAAGAAAGTAAGCCATAGGGCACTGCAGTCAACGAGTTTGCAGTTTTAACAAGCCAAAAGGCATAATTTCAAGAACAAGAAAACAGGACACAGCCTACCACAAAATAGGCAGGACAAGTCTGAGACAGATAATAAGTTAATATGAAACAGAAGAAAGCCAAGAAAAAACTCAAAATACAGAGATAGGAAACGTAAGTCTCAATGTTGAAACATGAATTAGTATACACATTTAACTGGTTATTATTGTACATAAATAAATTGTTCGAGGTGAGCAGGACACTCCATAAACCACAGAAATAGTCCTAAAGATCCACACATAAAAGTTAGCTTCCAAATATTTCCATGATGAAATCTCTAAGATGTTTTCCATGAGACTACCGATTTATATAATAATGAAAAAGAATGCAATCTGTTCATGAACATGACTATAGGAAAAACTAGAAAAAGCGCAAAGGAATACGAGTCCAATTGAAACACATGAAAACCAAATACCCAACACAAACATAGAAATGGATGATTATGTTTACCCACATACTATCTAAAAGGTCCACTAAAACATGCTCCTATAGAGCTTTGGATGTCATACATGCCTGGCAATGAGGTCGGTTGCCGCAGAGGGGGAAACTCCTTCTCCTATTCCAACCTAGATTTGGAACACATAAGAGAAATACTCAATAAGATACACGAAACAACTTATGCAATTCAACATTAACTGAAGGAATGTCAAAGAAAAATGCATAAGAGTAATATGAAAAGATAGAGAGACAGAGACTAATTTAGTAAGGGAGAATCTCTAAACTATCACAAATGTTTACGATGCATATTTAACTAGTAATGAGTTGCAGATTCATGAAAAGTTGCATTCAAGTTGGATAGAAATACTTGCTCAACATAAAGAGTATGGGAGGAAGCTGCACATACCAAAACCCTTGACAACACAAATCCAGGCATATATCCAGCAAGAAAAGGAAGAAGTGCTGTAGCCACTGACCATGTCAATACTCCAATCTGAAGAACTTTTCTGCATAATAATAATGATAATAATGAAGGCATGAGGCATGTATAGCACAAAATGCACCAGACCCAGAAGACAGGTGAAAGAAAAACCTATTACCCTCCAACTTTAAAGAGACCTAGTGTGACTATCAAAACCATGAACTGCCCAAGTGGAGTCAGCCATTTTTCCGAAAACATATAGATTTTTACTGCTTTAGTGGATAGGGTAATCATGGATCAAGCATTCAGTTACATTGAGCGGAAAAAATTACTTGTGCAAACATAAAAAAGGTAAACAGATGTACATTTAAGCACTGGAGGGGATGAAATAAGTATGAAATATATGGTCATAATGAAAGTGTCTGCAGTTCATATTCCCAAAATGCTACAGTTGAGGTGTAGCATTTAGAGTTTAGAAAGTCTAATGGAAATGAAGCATAGTATTTGCATCGATTAGCAGAAGTTAGGATTACAGTCGAGTGGAAAGAATATTTCTCTAAATCTTACGGGAGGACTACTTGAATGGAGCAAATAAATTGACGGAATGCAGAGACCTGATATTGATTTTTTGTCAAATCAGAACCACCTCCACCTTTATTATGGCAATTTAAGCTTGTAAAATTAAAAATAGCACTCGACTTAAACAACTCAACCCAAAACATTGATGCCAACTCATTACATCAGCTATATAAATCCTTTTCTTTCCCTGCTATGTTCAATTCTTGGCTAAACTTATTGTGATCAGTAACATCATTTGGCCCGTAATCAAACATAGAAGATCATTCAACTAGATCTCAATCAAGAGAAGAAGTTAGCATAACTTAGCATTACTTGACCAGTGTAAGTAAGGGTATGGGAGAAGAAGTTAAATAGCTCAAGGTAAAATCTAGCACTGAAAGATACCAATATGACCCCACCCTCCACATGCTTCCAAGTAATAAATCCATTACTGGAGCTTAAATAAGTGGTCTCCCATTGCCGGAGCCTATAAAAATAGTTTATTGATGGGAAAAATGACATATTCCTCTAATATGAAAGACATTGTAAATACAGCAAGCCATAAGGAACTAACCTCCCACCAAAAATCTTAGCAAGCCAGCCTCCTGGTAATTGGCTCAAAGCATACCCCCAAAAGAAGGATGATTGCACTAGCCCAGCCGTTGATGCATTCCATCCAAATTGGTGAGACATAGGAATTATTGCAACACTCAAGTTCACCTACCCAATTTAGCAAATTCATCAAAACATACGTTAGCTACAAACACAAGACAAGTAACCAAGTATTAGCTGCACCATTAAAAAATCACTATTCTTAGTTTAAAACTAACAGAAAAACACCAAGTCATATGAACATATCAAATTAGACCAAAAATACCACTACTTACCTTGTCCATGTTACAAATAACAAAGGCAAGTGATGTCGTGCCAATAAGCTTATATCTCAGAGGGATATTCTTCCATGGAGGCCATTTCCAATCAAAACCCACCTCACTAGACCCACTATCATCCCCCAATCTCTGCTCAAAATCCAAACTTGAACCCCTCTTGGGGTCCAGCTCATCAACTTTTTTTAGTCCAGCGGGTACATCAGGGACCCTCTCACTTTCTTTCACGTTCTCTTTCTCTTTAACACCACACCAAACCCTGAACTTCAAGCTGTTTCCAGAGTGAAGGAAATGTAAAGAATTGTTCTTGAATGAGGTGGTTGTTTTGAAGACTGAGGTTTGTGTGTTTCTGTTGTGTGAGAGAGAGCAAAAGCACTTTGCTTTGAGTGTTAAGTTTGCCATTTTATTTTTTCTTGAGGGACGAAGAAAGAACTGTATTTTTCGGAAGTGAAGACAATATAAAGAGAGGAAATAGTAAGCATTATGTTTATGTCCATTGACTTCTTGTCAGAGGAAGCCATTGCAGAAAGCTTGGCATATCATTTGCAAGGACTTGGGGTGGCCACGGAGGAATGACTTGTGGCTGGTGTTTGTTAGTGGGACCCACCTTTGTCGGGTAGCTATCGGAAGATACGTGTGTATAGTAGTGGTTGGTTTTTAAATAATTTTTCTTAAAATATATATTAAAAATATTTATTTATTTTTTTAAAATTATTTTTAATTTTAGTATATTAAAATGATCCAAAATATACAAATTATATTAAATTTTAATAAAAAATTAAAAAAAATTAAATTTTTTAAGAATTTATGTTCAACCACGTTTCAAAATAGGTTATATGTGTGAGATTGGTAGTGTCATTCGATTATTTTTTAAAATAATGTGTGAGATTAGTAGTGTCATTCGATTATTTTTTAAAATATTTTTCATTTAAAAAAACATGTTAATAATATTTTTTATTTTTTAAAAATTATTTTTAATATTAGTATATCAAAATGATTTAGAAATATAAAAATATATTAATTCAAAATAAAAAAATAAAAAAAATTAATTTTTTTAAAAAATACTTTTGAAAAGCACTCCCAACCAAACTCTATATTTTTTAACTATTAGTTATGTAAAATATTCTACAAGTAATTTTTGTTATTTTCTCTTATTCATACAAGTGAAATAGAAATTCATAATAAATTATTTAATAATATCAAATGTTGATAAATATTTTTATAATTTAAAATTAATATTTATTTAAGCATTAATATATTGTAATGTCTTTAAACAATATTGATTTATCTATCATTTATTTTTCGTTTTTGTAACTTATTCTACGATCATTTAAATTCTTATAAAAAAATATTCTGGTTTTTTCTTATTTTCTCAAAAATACTACATAATAAGTTGACAAGAATTTTAAAATTTTTTTAACCTAATTACATAAACAAAAAACTTTACAATGTTATTATCATATATACATGTCAATCAATTTATCCATATCAAGATTAAAGTAAAATATACAATTAAATTTTAAAAAATCAATATCTTATAACCTTGAAAAATTATTAATTAAATAAATTATCAATTTATTAATTTAAATATTAATTAGTTAAAAAATTATTTATCAAAGTTTTTTTTTTCATTTGCAAAGAGTTTTGTCTTTACCGTGAGGGTTTTGTGGACAAACTTCTTAAAGGCCCATTAATTATATGGATGCCTATATACTTTTTTGAGGTTTTTCTTGTTATAATAATATAATTTATTAGAACAAAACCTTAGACTAATCTTGGTTAGCGGTTGACTAAGATGACATTTTAGAAGAAAAGTGAGACCTTTAGTTTTATCTTATGTTTAGGGGGTAATCCTTAATTATATTTTTTATCGGGATTTGTTTTTTTTTAATCTAGGATTATAGAATGTGTTTTAAGAAACAAGGGTTGATTTTATTTTAATTTTATCTTTTTAATTTTGTAGAAATGAAAACGGAAAGGAGATGTCAATGGCGATTGCAATCAAGATTGGAGTTCTTTTGCTGGATTACATGTTAGTTTATGGCTTATGGTTAGAATATATACTTTACAGGTTTGATATATATAATATTTTTAATGGAAAACTGAGCATATAAAAAGGTGAATTTTTTTGATTGGATGAAGGAAAAAGTAAATTAAATTTGAGAACGAGTTTTTTAAATTATGCAAGATAATTTTTTTTAAAAAAATATTTTTTTCTTAATTATTTTTATTTGTTTTTTTATTTAGCATAAAAAATTAAATTTCATACTTAATAATTTTATTTTTTTAGTCTATTTAGGTTAGTTTTTCAATTTATTTAATAAATTATAAATTTTTTATAGAAGAAAATTACTGGAAGAGAAATGCACAATAATAAAATTAAGAATTAAAGTTACCTTATTCAATTTGTTTTTCAAGAAAAAAATATTTTTTAATGACTTTTTTTTTTAATTTGTATTAGTTTTTAGTATATTTAGGTGAGATTTATATATTTCAAAACCCATGGAGGAAATAAATTAAGATTTACCTATATTGTTTATAGGATTCTATAAATTCATTCTCGTATATTGAACATGTGATTTGTTTCCCTAGAAAAAAAATATTTTTTTACTGATCTTTCTGTTTCTTTTTAAGAAATTTTATTAGTTTTTAATACTTCTTATGTGAGATTTAGATATTTCAAAAACCTTAGGGGGAAAAAATAAAATTTACCAATATTTTTACAGGGTTCCAAATTAAATTTTGGACGAAAATGGATGGAACTATGAGAGGTAGCAATTGAAAAGGCTACCAAAGTTTTGGGTGAAATTGAGATAATACAGAACCTTGGGGGGCAAAATATAAAATAAAACTGTTTGACAACCAAAAGGAATTCCGTTGCCGGGAATCGAACCCGGGTCTCCTGGGTGAAAGCCAGATATCCTAACCGCTGGACGACAACGGAATACTTGGTGACGATCACTATATATTCAAATATATATTTTATATAAAAGAGAAAAGGCCAAGTACAATAGAGGATGTTGAGAAATGATGCTACTATGTATCAAGTTTGAGCGCTTCCGATAAATGGGAAGAGAGCACTTGGCACTGTAAAAGTAAGCTCCCGTTGCCGTCTGTCGGAGGTGTTTTTTCCAGTTCATGGGTTTCAGCTAGTTCTGTCAATAGTAAGTTCATCTTTCGCCTGTGTTTCAGGCTGAAAGTAACAGGCATTTCAGTAGTCTGTGTAAAGGAAAGGAGGAGACATAGGCAGAGCTAAATCTACAAATAAGATTCCTTCATTTCCTGTAGTGTAGTTGCAACTTGTTTACAATATTTTACTCGCCATTAAAATAATCCTTATGGATTAGGTCACAAGTGCGTGCAGCTTATATGATCATCCTGTGATCAGAATGTAGCTAAGCGACAAAAAGATGACCAGAAGAAAACAACATTATCTTGCTTCTTTTTCTCCTTTTCCTGATGAACATAACAATGGTGCAGCTGCACGTTGCTGCAATTGCATTTTTGCTGATGAGGTCCATTTTATTTATTCAGCTGTCAATGAGCTCGTAGCTCAACTAACATTTATCCCCCCCTTTCCATCCCCTTGAAGGTCTTGAACTCGAGCCTCTTTCTTAAAGGAAAATAAAACGGTAGTAAAATAGATAAAGTTTTTAGTTAATTGTATAAATAATTCTAGTAGCCTTTTAGCATGTTAGATTGTATTAATAAAAATTAAATATTTTGAATTTTTTTTTATAGTTATAATTTTCTTTTTAATCTCTGAGTGTTTTGACTTGCAACTAACTTTATTATCTTCGCTTTTATTTGTGTTAATTAGTGGTTTTGAATAGAGATTGTAAAGGATTTGTTTTAAAGCTCAACCATTCTTGATAGTTAGATGATGTATGTTGTTGCATAATTATATTTAAAAAAAAATCACAGAATCCAACATGTTTATATCAGAAAAATGACGAGGTTTCCATTTATATTAGTTGTTGTTATTAAGTATTTTGATAATGTGATCCATAATTATATAACTAGCATAAAAATATTATTTTAGAGATCTATAATGATGGGATAACTCATACAAATATTTTATGGATGGTTCTTGAAAAAATATTTTTATAGATAATAGTTTTTTATTAAGGTTTAAATTCACACAAATTTCTTTCAACATGAGAACATTAATAAGATTTTTTTCTAGAAAAATAAATATTTTTTTAATTAATTGTATTTTTAATATTTTTCTATTATGTATGATTGTTTTTTTTTATTTTTTTATATTTATAAAGAATAATTTTCTTAGTTCATTTTTTCAATTCAATATTACAAGTTTTTTTATAAAAAAATTATAATATCCTTTTAAAAAATTGACTTAAATAAATAAATATTAAATATTTCCCCTATTTTTAATCTTTAAAAATTATAAATTATAAAAAGCATAAGGTTAGTTGTCCTTCGCTTCCGTTAATAAAAGCTCCCGTCACTTCATCAGATCACATAGTGAACTGGGACTACAAAATCAAGTTGATTTAAAGAAGAGAATAATGAATAAAATTGAAGGGGCTGGAATTACGGCCGCCATCCTCCAATCTTTGACTACAGCTACCAGAAAGAGAACCAAAAAGAGCTGCAGGATACCAGTGGGTGGTCTAGTGGTGGAAGGAGCTTGTTTTTTTTATTGTATTTGAATTTAAGTCCTGATGTGCATACTTGTTACTCCCGTGATGTCTTACATGATTACTGGATTTTCAGGATATTCAATGGACCCGAGAAATTAATCGTGGTGCGTACAAGCTAGGCCGGACACCTCACATAAATAAATTAAAAAAAAAAGCTCATTGCATGCATCAGCTTCATAATAGATCAAATTTGAATTGAATGGATCCTAAATAGCGGACAAGTCCAAATCTTTCTTTGCTGTACAATCCACATGAACTGCTGAAATTCAGCCGAAGAATAAACCCTTTTCAATAAAACGACCTTTACTGCGACTAAAGCGAGTAGTTTTCTGCAGCTGCGGGTGAGATAACATGGCTGTCATGGCAGAGTTGATATCAAATTCAGTCCAAGAAATGGCTACCAATGGACAAGAACCACCAGTGAAGTATTTCTCTAAAGGAAATGATGGTGGAGTCCTGGATGCTCCTGTTCCTTTAATTGAAATCCCAGTTGTTGATCTTGGTCTCCTTACTTCTCCATCAACCAGTGCCCAAGAACTTGAGAAGCTTAAATTAGCTCTTAGCTCATGGGGCTGCTTTCAGGTCCTCTTCTTTTCTGAACTCACTCTTACTACCGATAATTCCCTGTTCTAATCTTGCTCAATGTCTGTTTCAATATGACTTGAGCGTTAAAGATGGTCAAAGAAATGTTGTGAAAGCCCAAGATTTGATAGACACTGATCAACTGGATAAATGAATTGTTATCATTCTCTATTTCACATTATCTGGCTTGAGTATTTTATTCAAGTTTAGGGCTTTATGCGTTCTGGTTTCTATTTGATAACAAAATATAACAAAAAATTGAATAACTATGGATACAACCCAGATTTTAGATTACAATATGCTTCCATGTGTATAACTAGCATTGCTCTTGCGATATAAGCAGAGTTTATTTTGATGTTTTAGGTAATAAATCATGGAATGACGAGTTCCTTTTTAGACAAAATTCGTGAAGTTAGCAAGCAATTCTTCGCATTTCCGATGGAAGAGAAGCAGAAATACTCCAGAGAAGCTGACAGCATTGAAGGGTATGGAAATGACATGATTCTTTCCGACCACCAAACAGTTGACTGGACTGATCGATTGTATCTTACCATTAGCCCAGAAGACCAGAGAAAGATCAAATTTTGGCCCGAAAATCCTAAAGATTTTAGGTAATTAGAATACATTACCAAATTATTCAGTGAATTTTCACAATGTTAAAAGAAGAATTGACATATCTTCTGAGTTGCAGCGATGGAGTTAGTTGAACTTACAGCTGATAACCATCCAATGCATTAATAAGATTTTGAGAAGTAAATGCTAACCTTGTTCTTAACCGTTGCTGCAGGGAAACCCTACATGAATACACCGTGAAGTTACAAGAGACAAATAACTTTCTCCTCGGAGCCATGGCGAGGTCATTGAACTTGGAGGAAAGCTGCTTTCTAGACCAGTATGGAGAACAACCACTTGTGACTGCAAGGTTTAACTTCTATCCTCCATGTCCAAGGCCTGATCGAATTCTTGGCGTTAAGCCTCATGCAGATGCATCGGCAGTTACCTTCCTCTTGCAAGACAAAGAAGTGGAAGGTCTTCAATTCCTGAAAGACAACGAGTGGTTTAGAGTTCCCATCATTCCACATGCTCATTTGTAAAGTCAACCGGTAGAACGGAAATACTCTGTTGGTAATTAGAATTGCCAGTAGAACCGGCGAGAAATACAACTGTCGTAAACTAACTTGTCAGGGTTTTAATTTCTTCTGCCGTCGTCGTAAATTTGGATTTTCTGACTTGGATTAATTAATAACATCTTTTGATTGATTGGAAAGTACAAAAATTATTGTTCTTTAAATTATAAAGTACAAAATTAACAAAAACTCTTTAAAAAAAATCTTGCCTTTATAATTTATTACTTGATTTTTGATATATTCAATAATAATTATCTATTATTTTTGATAAATATATATAATATATTGAAAACAATAATTTTTTAAATTAAAAAATTATTACTTTAATATAATTAACTACACAAATCAATTCAATCAAATAGCACATAATTTTGTAAAATAAAATTTAGAACTAATAACTTATAGATACTAAAATGATAAAAAAAACATATCGGTAATTTGTATCCAACTAACTGCCTATTATTTATCTAATTCAAGAATAAAAAAATCAATTAATACCTATGATTAATTACATATTAATTTATTTGTTCTTAAATTTTAAATTGACTAAAACTAATTGGACTCAACTAATTATTCATCATTTCTTTAATTCAAACTTACTCAACCTAAATTAATACATTTAATTATTATTAATTATACACAAAATTAATTTTTTCTAAATTTTTAATTTAACTATAAAATTGCCAAAAAAATTAATACTCATTAAATTACTTATGATTTCTTCAATTCTAAAATAAATGAATTATAAAATTATATTCAATTTCATCAAGTGAAAAATTAAATTTATTTCCTTCAAATCTCAAACAAATTCTAAAATATAAATCATATATAAATACAATAAAATTATCATTATAAAACAAGTAAAACATTTAAATATATAAAAAATTACAAATGTTGTGAATAAGTTTCAATAAATTAACTTAAAATGTAATGAGTTAAAAAAATAAATAGTGAATTTACTTACATGATGAAATGAAACTCAATAAAAAAATAGAACCAAAAGAGGAAACTGAGGCTTTGAAGAGATATTGTCTTGACATCAAGGAGTTGTGATGGCTTGACTTGTGGAGCTTGTGAGGGTGGCTGTCAGAAGTTTTTTTATTTTACATGGAGACAGCTACTATGTGTTCTGAAAGAAGATGAAAATGAGTCCCGGAGAGCCATTGTGGGGTTTTAGTAACCCAAAACTCCTTTTATGTTCTAGAGAATTAAAGCACTAATAAATAAATCATACCTAAAATGTGATAACTTTAAACTTTCATAGAAATTAAATACATTGATATTTGTTTCTCACTTGACCCATAATCTAGAACAAACCCAACAATCGAGTTACTAAATCTGGCTCATCTCAAGCACCTGCTGCTAATGTTTTTTAAACAAAACAAGAACAGGGGTTTCCAGGAGTAGAATAATTCGTGGCATGTCTGGAATAACTGTTCATAATGGTCAAGTCTACAACTTAAAGGAGTTAACATCAACTTGATAAAGAATATTTAACGTTGCTCAGTGACCTTTACCGACAACTATGAATTCATGACTCGATAGTGCCTGCCTTCTCTTTTTTATTTATTTATTGTAGTGATTTGGTTCATCTAGTCCTTGTTGTGGCTGCAAATTGGCCGACTCTCCCAGCCAAACCTTCCCTGTCAACTCTACTCAAGCCTCGCTTTTGAACTATTTAACTCATCTCAAGATCTAGGACAAAACAGAGAGTGAATTCCTGTAAATCTTTTGGTTCATTTACTAGACAATTTTCTTTTAAAGTTGTAGGAACGTATTTCTATCCATAGGGACTTGAGTTTAGTTCGAACTCGCTCTCTCTTGTTTCCTGTTCAAGTTAGAAGGCAACCATAAATTAATATCATCTGTTCATCTATCAAAATCAAGCGTAATCTCAGTGTCTGGAAAAGTATGGCTGATAATCTTTTTCCTACCAAAATAGAATCAAAATCAAAATCTGTCCAAGAGTTGGTCATGAAGAACGAAGAACCTCCTGGAAATTATTTCTATGAAGATGGTGTTAATGGAGTCCTAGACAGTTCTCTTCCAGTGTTGGAGATGCCAGTTATTGATATAAGCCGCCTCACATCTCCGTCAACAAGCAGAGAGGAAGTTGAAAAACTCCACTCAGCTCTCATCTCATGTGGCTGCTTTATGGTTTGTTTTTCAATTACTCTTCTTGGAATTCAACTACTTTCTTGTGACCATGCTCATATACTAGATTTTGACATCAGGATCTTAGTTTGACAAGCTGTGTTCTATGAATTTTTTTCTCAAGAGCTGGGTTTTTTGTTCCAGTCAATAAATCATGGAATCACTGCTGTATTCTTGGACCAAGTACGTTCAGTTACTGCGCAGTTCTTTGCACTTCCAATGGAAGAGAAGTTGAAGTTCTCCAGAGCAGTTGATAGCGCAGAAGGTTATGGAAATGACATGATCCTTTCAGAAGATCAAATACTTGATTGGACAGACAGATTATATCTTATACTAAGCCCAGAAGATCAGCGACAGTTCAAATTTTGGCCTGAAAAACCTGAAATTTTTAGGTATGTTAACCATGCTACCTGAAGATTATATAGATAATGGTTAATCCAACCATATATGACCATGTATGGAAACAGCTCCATGTACAGTTTAATCCAACCATTTATGACCATGTATGGAAATTACCTCCTATAATGACACGAAAAAATATGAAACAAATCTTGAGCTTGCAGGGAAATTTTGCAAGAATATACCACAAAGTTAAAGGTGATAGTTGAAGTTGTTCTCAAAGCCATGGCAAGGTCATTAAACTTGGAAGACAACTGCTTTCTGGACATGTACGGAGAAAGGGCATTGATGCAGGCCAGATTCAACTTATTTCCTCCCTGTCCGAGGCCTGATCGATCTCTTGGCCTGAAACCACACTCAGATGGATCAGCAATCACCATCGTCCTACAAGACAAAGAAGTCGAAGGGCTTCAGTTCCTTAAAGATGATCAATGGTTTAGAGTTCCTATCCAGCTTCCTCATGCTCTTCTTATTAATGTTGGTGATCAATCAGAGGTAAATTACAGATTCGTCTCATCATCAGCAGGCATTCAATTTATATAAATAACTCCTTAAGGAAAAACGAAGATGAATAGTAAACTCCAGACTTGGAAACATTTTAGACAATACACTATCTGCAACTAGAATTTCATGCCTTAAGCCTGAAGTATGAAATTAATTCATGGGAGTTCATTGTTAACTGTAACTAGTTATGAATGGCATACATAGGTAATGAGCAATGGGTTTTTCAAGAGCCCAGTCCACAGAGTAGTGACAAATTCAGAAAGGGAGAGGACTTCCGTGGCTGTGTTCTGTTCTCCAGACCCGGACAACGACATTGAACCTGTGGATGGGGCAGTCAGTGAGACGAGGCCGAGATTATACAAGAAGGTGCAAGATTATGGCAGCAAGTACTTTCAGTACTATCAGGAAGGGAAGAGGGCGATAGAAGCAGTGAAAATTTAATTTATGCTTACGTTTAATTTAGCTTTCAAGTACTGTTGCATTGCACATTGCTGCGGTTCTTCTTAGGTTGATTGTCATTTCATGTGCAACACGCATTGCTGCGGTTCTAACTTTCCTAGGACGAGATTCTTATCTGCCTTGCATTTGTCAGTTCTCAGTTTTCAGGGTCACCATTAAGTTCTTTCATAAAATGCTCAATTTGCTGGCCACAAAGATTCTGCCATTCGTTGATGAGCCCGTGGCTCAATCGACACCCACATCTGTTTTCTTCCTGAATCTCTCTAGTTCTAGCCTCTTTCTTTTACCGGGTTTGAAGTGAAGTTGTGTTTGTTCAAATCCCCCAGATTTTGCACTGCTATTTACTGCAGAAGCATGGATGACCTTTCCTTTCGGAGAAAAACCATGATCGAGTCCGGGCGTCTTTCAAAGCCAGGCCTAAAGAGAAGGACAAAATTATTATCAAAACCCGCTTACGAAAAGTGCCAGACACAATACTACGGTTCAGGTAGAAGGAGCGAAGAGAATTCAAAATATTTGAAAGATAAAAAAATACAACAATATTATATGAAAAACATCAAAATATTTAATTTTTATTTATCCATGTTTCACAAGCCTTTCTATATATTACAACCCTTTATATGTTGTATTAGCCTATATATATAATCAGAAAACTCTAATAACAGGGTGTGGAAAAGATAAAATAAGAAAATTATTCTATATAAAAAATAGAAAAACATAATAATAGATAATAAAAAATAAAATTAACTAAAAAAATATTTATTTTTGAAAAATATCAAAATATTTAATTTTTATTTATCCATGTTTCATAACCCTTTCTATATATTACAACCCTTTATATGTTGTATTAGCCTATATATATAATCAAAAACTCTAATAACAGGGTGTGGAAAAGATAAAATAAGAAAATTATTCTATATAAAAAATAGAAAAACATAATAATAGATAATAAAAAATAAAATTAATTAAGAAAAATATTTATTTTCCTATAAAAACTTCCTCTACCACTAATTTTTTTATTTTTTATTTTTATGAATGACACTATGAATCCTCAATATCTTTATGTGAGCTTTTTCGTAGTAGATCCTAACATGATATTTTTATATTTACTGTTTCATTATGAATCTCTAATATAATATCTTTATATCTTTTTAGTTATAGATCACTAATATGATGATTTTTTTACCTCTACATCCTCTCCTGCATAGGTATAATTTTTTTTATTATTTTTTTCAGCCATAATTATTTAACAATATACAACAACTAATTACTAAAAATCATCAAACTATAATATATGTTTTTTTTTATCTTTTTCAGCCATAATTATTTAACAATACACAACAACTAATCACTAAAAATCATCAAACTATAATATATGTCATCTACAAGATCTCCAACCAAAACCATTAGAAATCATAAGACAAGGGTTTGTTACAAGTTAAAACTCTCATAGACAAAAAAAAAAAAAAAACTATAATTATGAGAAAGAGCAAAATCATTAGAAATCATAGGACAAGGATTTGTTACAAGTTAAAACTCTGGTAGATAAAAAAAAAAAACTATAATTATGAGAAAGACATCTGACATATTCATTTCTTATTTTTCCATGTCTTGATTGCCAAAAGACTATTGCAATTTTTTATATAGAAAAAAAACTAGAAAATCCTAATAATAATAAATAGGAGAAATAAAATAAAAAACTATTGAATATAAGACATAACCAAAAAGAATATAACAATGCAAAATAAAAAAAAAATTAACTAAGAAATATATTTATGTTTTAAAAAATATACATCATGGTTGCTGAATGGTTTAAATATATTGAATTTTAGAAGACTAGAGGGACCACAAATTTATAATTTAAAAAGCTTAAGGATCAAAAATGAAATTTTTACTTCCATTTTTGAAACTACCACCCGTTACTTCCATATTTTCACCCTAGTCCTTCTTCTTTCAATCTTGCAATTGCTGCACAAATCTGCCGTTGTCAGAAATTAAACTTTTACTGGCATGATTTGGAATGACATTGCTTGCACTTGCCCTGGTGGATATTTCTTCAACGAAAATATTTACAGGGTTTTTACATATATAAAATTTCTAATAATATATCACTAGAAACAAGGTCAAAATTTATTTTTATTCTTTATATTTTAAAATTAATTTTATGATTTAATGTAAATAATTTTTTTCTTAAAAAATCTTAAAAATGTAACTATTATTATCAAAAACTAAATATGAATAATTATCCATCACTTACTTGAAAGAAAATAAAATGGGCCGTTCCATGCTAGAACTCCTCTATAATGGGCTCCATCTGTTCATATTTGTACTTCACTGGGCTTTCCCCTTTAAAGACCATTAATTCTCAACAATCGGATCTTAGGATTATTGAAGCGCCCCGCGCTCTCTCATTATAATTTATATATACACTCCTTATGCACCCTCGACTGATCACGCGCAATCACACTGTTCGCACACTCCGCCGTCGACCGCTATCAGAGCATCGTTTCTGAAGGTCAGAATTTTCAGTCCCCCTATTCCCTTTCGTTTCTCTGCGATATTACATTTTTGCTTAAAATTGCTTCTTAAGCTCTAGCATTAGTCTCACATCGCCACCATCAAGTTCCAATTTTGTAAATAAATTTGGTCATTTAGGGTTTAGGGTTTTTTTCCTTCTATTTTTAAGAAGGAAGAGGCATGGAGTTGATAGATTCATGAATTTTTTGCAAAATTCATCTCTAGCAAGCAAAAATGGAGAGGATTTCTGCAGCTTGTGCTATGGAATGGAGCATTGAGCTTGAGAAGGCCCTTCGCTCTAAAAAACCTGGTAAGTATACACTTCCACTCTATTTTTAATAATCTATATGTTAACTTGGAGTTGCTGATGCTTCAAAAAGTTTGAATTTATGCAAATTCATTAGAGGGATATTGAGTAAATGGTAATTGAAAGAGTTTTGCCATGTTTTAGGACAAGCTATTGAGGGCATACAACGAATTGGCAAAAGAATTCAGGAGTGGAGTAAAGAACCCAAACCGACTATGGCAGTTTATAACATGTTTGGGCTAGTCACAGGAGAGGATAGGCTCTTTGCCAATACAATTCTATTACGGCTTGCTGATGCATTCAGGTTTGGTGACAGAGAAACAAGGGTTTCTATTGTAAAGGTTTTTTTGTTGGAGCTCAAGAGCCGTACGAATAAGAAATTGAAAGGTAGACAGTATAGAGGGATTTTGTCAAAGGACATGGTGCAAAATCATGTGGAACTTCTGGAAAGAGTTAAAATAGTTTTTGATACCGGAGATGTTGATTCAAAGGCCTTGGCATTGGCTCTCTTTGGCTGTTGGGCTCCTTTTGCGAAAGATAGTGCTCATATACGATACATCATACTTTCCAGTATGATCTCCTCTGATGTTTTGCAGGTGAGGTCAGTGTTATGTCTGTTGTGAAAATTTAAAGTTTGTGATTGCTTGTTTCTGCTATGCCACTGTGGTTTCTAGCTGGGCGTTTGCTATTTTAATTAAAGGATTCTCTTTATCATACAGTGTAACTGGCCTTCACTCCTTTCTTTCTGCAGGTAAAGGCGTCATTATTTGCTGCAGGTTGCTTTTGTGAGTTGGCAGGTGACTTTGTGCCTGTTGTCTTAGAGATGTTGGTTAATATGGTCACTTCATCTGAAACATTGTTGACCATAAGATTAGCTGGAACACGAGTTTTTGCTAAAATGGGGCCCTCATATTCTGTTGCTAGTAGAGCCTACAAGGTTTTGAGTCTCTTCTCATCCAATTTCATATCAGAACATCCATGTTTGCTTTGTTGTTCTAGACAATGTACTGAGCTTGTAGTTTGTTGTTCCAATTAATAGTGAATATGTAGCTCACTGTGGAGCTTTGTATTTGTTATATTTAGAAAGTTTGGACGATTCACTACAAATGAATCTAGTTATATTGTTCGATAAAAAAGACATTTATGCATGTAGTAAATTTAGGAAGTTTGGATGATCTTCCACATGTTTTTGTTCACCAGACAATATCATTAAAAGTCACCTGTAGTGGATGTTATAAATAAAGTTTATAATATAGTACAAACATTACAAAAATATTCATCTTTTTGACTATAAACAATTTTTTTTTTTTTTTAAATTTGATGTGGTTTTAATCGAAAGCATGCCCCTTTTTCTATTTTTTTTTTTAAAATTTGATTTGGTTTTAATCGAAAGCATGCCCCTTTTTCAATGTTGGTTGATGCTATCTTGTTACTGTTATTCGGATTTTTTACCTCATCTGAACTGCATGTTAATACCTTGCTCCTTATCGGATCAACAAACTTGAAATAAGTTCACATATGTAGTAGAATGTAACCTCTTGGTTTATAAGAGCCATTGGATGAAGATTGAAGGAAGAAATACATGATCACCAGTGTACCCTAGTGATTTCCTGATAATACAAAACTTACATATCATGGTGTGATGCAATTTAGTGCACTTATGGAATGATTTTATGCGCTAATAATTCATTCTGTCAAGATTGCTTGTCAGTGCTGCACGTGTGAAGCTGTATCTCAGAGTTTATAAAATAATACTAACTACTGGTCTGCTACAGACAGGCCTAAAGTTGTTAGACTCTTTAGAAGAGGACCTTGTGGTTAAAATGACTAAAGTTGTTATCTTTAGAAGAGGACCTTGTGGTTAAAATGCTGGTTTCTCTCACAAAACTTGCATCGAAATCAACCCTTCTATTATTGGAACAGGTACCTGTTTGAATCTCCTTGGCGAGTATGTAGGTGATTTTGTTTGGTTCTAAGTCTGTGTATTACTATCTTATTATCATTGTGAAGTAAAATGGTTACTTCATTTGTAATTAGTTTTGCATCTGTTAACAGGTGGATTTGCTTTTATTGTTCCTTAGCCAAGAGAAAGATTTGCTATTGCAAGCAACAGCTTTAAGATGCCTTCACTTCATATTAATGAGAGTAGTTGTTTACTCTTCTGTTAGCGCACATGGAATCAAAACATTATCCAGAATTGTAGACGAAGCTGACCTTCCATTATCCATGCAATGTGAAGCTTTACAAATTCTGCATAAGGTCATTTCTGAATCCAATCTTCTAAGTAATGATTTGGCATTTGGTATCTTGTTGAGACATTGTTTAATTGCAGATGCTTTTATATAGACTACATAATCTTCCTCAAGACAAC